TTTTCTATTTATTTCCTGAGTGCAGTATGTGCAATTTTTCTTACAGTGTTAAATTGTTGATTTGATAGCATGCCTAAAAAGTAATGACTTGAAGTAACATTGTTTTAAAAAAATAAATGCCCTATTGTTGTGCTAACAATCTGTTTTCTGTCTTTGTATTAACAACTTCAAGTTTTGAGTACAGCTTACTTGAGAAATTTAAGGCAATCAGTTTCCACACATTTGTCTAGTAATGTGAACAAAGCAGAATTGTTAAGAGAACTGTTTTGTTTGAGTTCTGTGCACTAAGCTTAACTTAAGTCTCTAAGTTGGCTGAACTTGTCAAATTGAGTTAGTAACACTCAAGTTTTCTGGTAACCTATACATATACACAAGTTACCTATACAAAGTTACATTAAGTTTTATTAACTCAAAAATTATAAACTAATTTGCTTGAGAAATTTGAGGCAATCAGTTTCCACAGGTTTTCCAAGTAAGTTCAACTCATTACTTTTTACAGTGTATATACAACTTATGGGTTCCAGTTTAACAATTAGAAGGAGGCAGTTATGTCTAGTAAAAGTGAATAACAATAAAATAAACATACTGTACTGTGTGTAGATAAGAATACAAGGCATGTGTTAAGGTGAGGTCTCAAAAGCCAAGAAAACACAGAGAATGTTAAAACAATTGTGAATAGTGAGTCAAGTCAGTGAATGTACTGCAGAATAAATTTAATTGTTGAAAGAAGTCTTATGAGGTGACTTTTCCAACAATATATCATTATTTTGTGGAAAAACAATATATACAATTTGTAATATACTGAAGTAGGAAGCGAGTGAAAGTAGAATATCATTACACATAGCTGATCTAAGTCTTGTCAAATTTTCTTTGTACATAAGGATAATTTTAGCTATAAAACAGCTGGGAAATCAAATTTCTGCTGATTATGCTATATGTGTGTTATGTTGTCAATAACTAATGTAGACCTTGTTGTAAAATGTTATCAATAAATTGAATGGAAATCAGTCAGGACATTTGTCATTTGAGTCATATTGTTAGTTAAATTAAGTTAGTAAATCTGCACCAAAGAGCTGCTCCAAAAGTTTCTCAAATGAGCACTGTCAGTGCTCTTTACCTCAACATATTTTTATTGCAGAAACACATTAAAATCCAAGACACGACCTGAACAAATGTTTCCAACACACAAATTCAGTGTAATATCTGAGAGAGGACCTGACTAACTATTGCACTGAATAATTCCAGGTGGCAAAATCACCCGTGGTCTCCCTCTGGATCTAATCAATCAGGTACATTCTCACCCTCTAAGCCAGCACACAGACTGATATGAGTGATTTATGGGATGGAATTAAACCAATACCGATAATGACATTTTCTATGCTGCTTAGCAGCTGGTTTGTCGCTCCTATGTGTGCTCAAAGGTGTGAGAATGGTTCTTTTTTGGGGTTTGAGTCATGCATGGGAATTATAGTCTCAGTTTGAATTGGTGGTACTTGCAGTGATCTGTGTTATGGTCATTGCAGCATATTGAATGCTAGAGTAGAGAATGTGAAGGGAAAAAAAAATCCCACTAGCAGATAAAAACATCTCAATATGCAATTGAGATACACCATTGGATTCCAGTCCATTGATCCTCCAGGACATTTACAGCTTTGTGACAGATCAGCATTGAATTATGCATGCTGATTTTATTGCATACAGTTGGGATCATGATATGAAATCGACATTACATTATCAAGCAGAAATATACGCTATGTAATACGCTAATGTATCAAAGTTAACTAAGCTGTTGGGAGTATTTGACAGCACATGTCTAGCCATTATATGTAAAGAACTATTGTGGAGCATATATTACTTTCACATGCAGTGTGTGAATGAAAAAGAAAAAAAAAAAACGGGGGTCACCACAAAGGCACAGTGCGGCAAAATCTTACAGGCAGCCAGGGAATAGCTTAATGTAGCTGCATATGTTCTGGAGTGGATATCAGAATATTTGCAATTTTCCCCTTTTTCTTGTGGGAGATTTTTTTTTAAACAAAAATTCCTATTAGGGGTTGGGTTATATATTTCTTTGGTTTGGGCTGGTTGAGAGCTGTACTTAAACCAGTACTTGATGAGTATTAAGTCTGTCATGATTTTAGAATGTTATGCAGGTAATATTAACTATACTGCAAAAAAAATCAATACATATTTTCAATGATGAACATTATTATTATATTTTTGTAGGTGCTGTGATTCATCTTTTAATTAACACTCTTATAATCATTTTTAGTGAGCAAATGCATGTTAATCATTGGATAGCTAAATAAAAATAGCTTGTCTTTTCTAATAAAGTTTAAAAAAAGTAAAAGTATGTTTTATTTCTTGCTAGAATTGTAACTGGAAACAAATAACAATTTAAGTTGTATTAATATTTTTATTACTTTGGAAATATGGAGGGAAGAGTTTCACTTTGTTTCATTTAATACAGTTTTTAATGTGAATTAATCACTTGGGTTTGATTTCATGATGTATAGGCCTATGAGACAGAGCAAACTTTATAATAGCCTACATGAATAAAAGTCCATTTAAATATTTAAATAACATAAAATATGTCTTAAATAGTTGTGTGTGCATTATGACAAACTTAAAATTCATCAACTCTTTTCAGACTATTATTCAAACGTAAATGGGTCAAAAGTTGTTTTAAAGTGTAAAATAAAGTCCCATCCTATTGATGATTACACACACGTATGTGTGTGTGTGTGTGTGTGTGTGTGTGTGTATATATATATATATATATATATATACACATACATAGCCTACATACAAAAACATGTAACATGTAGCCTTGAAGTTTGTTTTATTGTTAAAACCATTGTGACTATAATAGGGGGTTCAATTCAGTCAGTTTTGTGAGTGTATCTTTAACTTTATAAGCTCTTCTAGTATTGTTCAGGTTAAACGAAATGTCTTTCTCCCTCAGTGAAGGTGTTTAAATGTTGAGGGGTGGGATGGCGCTTCTGTGGAGGTAACGGGAGTCAGACTGCACGTGAAGAGTGGGTTTGACATTGGGAGTTTGAAAGTGGAGAGAGACACAGTGAGGCTTCTGCTCTCAGCCTCTCGCCAGGGAAACATCACAGTTTATCAACCTACATGTGACTTCAGACTCTTCCAGTGACATTTACATAAGTGCTGGAGATACCGCGAGGAAACATAATGCAAAGTCTCAAGACGGGTGTGCGCACGCTGCCGGATGTTGTCTCTGATTTTCTATGAAGAATGTTTTATTTTTCGTATCTTCGCCTGTAATCGGACATCGATCATGAATTATGTTTGTGAGAACAGTCACTGTAATGCGCTTGAACTCTAAGGAATAAAAGTTACGTGACGGATTAATTTGACATGGACTCAGTGGATGAATAAATCACTGTCGATACCAGTATCCTGTCACTCAGTTTATTGTTATTTTTGCTAAACGTCCGATGGACCGAGCATCTTCACACAATAATATACACGCACAGAGGAATTAATGAAGAACTTATTGTTTCGGATAATAATCAGACAGGGCTTGGAAATCTCACAATGAGGCTGAAATCATCGAGGTTAGGTTACCTGTAAGTACACTTAATATAGACTTGTGCTGAAGAGTTATTTTTATGTTTTAAAAAATAATAATTCTGTAATTAACTGTTTTTTTGTTTTTTTTGTTTTTCAGATTACTTCAATTTATGACTCTGTGTTTTTACACTCAGGTAAGTCTTCTGCATTTTGTGTTTGCAAACAAGCATCTCAAGCTAATAGATGAACGGATGGGACTATGTTATGTGTAATAGAGTGTAATATCGGTTTAACCAATTACAAATGAGTTAAGGGTTGAAATCACCATCATACATGACAACCAACGCCTTCAGGAGACTATAATTTGTAAGTGTCTCTGTAAAAAAAAAAAAAAAAAAAAAAAAGGAAGAAAGAAAGTAAAATGTTTAGATCTGGTTTATAAATTTAGCGACAGTGTTGGTGGATGTTAAAAGACAGAACTGATTTCATCTGAACCAGCAGGCTGTTTTCTTTAATTATATACAGCCCTGTAACTTCCACAACTTTTTATTTTCATGTTAAAAATATAAATATCATGTCTGACCAGAGAAGGAGGATTGTGACACGACTTTTCAGTGCATGAAAAATCAACAAAATAGGACAGTGGGGTGATAAATGTGAGAGTGACAAACACACCTCAAGAGTTGTTATCATATATTTTATGTGCTGTGTTCAATTAAATGTTTCTTTTATGTTTAATACGTTTCCATCCATAGCAAAATCCAGTTTCTATTTGTGTTACATCCCACCTATAAGCAACACTTTTTAAAATCTGACAATAATATTTACAGTTTAGGAATAATTCATAAATGTATAAAATTCTGTAAATAAATATAGGAATAGTGCAATTAAGTAAAAAAAAAAAAAAAAGTGTTACAACACTACTCAGTCTTCCCATTCGAATATTTTCCAGTCAAACAAAAGCAGGACACACTGAAAGCGATAAAACCTTTACTCTTACTGTTATATGTGTGCAGTAAATGTGTTATAACCGTGCAAACAACTCATTATTAATAGAGTCATTGGCAAATTGTCAAACATCTTGAAAAGACGTAAACCCCTCACTTTAAAGGTAATGGCTCTAACATGTGGGCACGGCGCATAGCTGACTTACAAAAGAAAATCGTTATGAGAACGGGCCCAAAGAGACGGGGTGAAAGATCAGTGTTGGTCAACCCCTCACTGGCATGTCATTCAGAGTGTGGACGGGGCACTTGCCCTCAGAGTGCCAACCATCGCTGCAAAAAGAATGATTTGAATCTGAAGAAAAACAGTGTCACCTTTATTGTCCCTAAAAAGAGTTGTTCTTATATACATCACCACAAATCTGTATGTTCTTCTGTCACATTTTCATAGATGACAATGCAGTCCGTCTCTGTACCAAATTTTAAGCACCATGTAACGGAGCAGAGTCGTCTGTCGGACAGGATGAGCCGGCGATTAACAAGGACTTATCAGCTCTATAGCCGGACGAGTGGTAAACATGTACAAGTCCTGGGCAATAAGAGGGTCAACGCCAATGGCGAGGATGGAGATATTCATGGCAAGTCACAGTCTTTGCAAACACACTTTTCTGCATGATTTTACTTTGTCAGCTTGAAACAACAGGACAAAACATGTCAGTTGAAGGTATTACTCCAGGTATAAAAATCCAGTAAATGTCATTGCCAAAAAGTAACCTGCATAATTTGAAATGGATTCTATATTGTTATGAGTTTGGTAATCTCAAGAGAAACCCGTTTTGGTTCTGGAAAACACATCAGCACTCATCTTACCTCGGCCGTCTTAACATTTCCTGAATAGTTCTCCATATAATAAAGAGTTGTAGGACAGAAATATGACATGCAATTTTCTAACCTTTTCTAGCATCATTAGTTTTCATCTTTCATCTCTTCCTAAACAAATATGGTTATTGCAAATGTTCCTATATTATGTGTGAGGCAAGATGATGATCTGAAGTTTCAATCACTTGTCGAGAGCTATTCGCTCCAAGATTACATGTGTATTTTTTCTTTGCTAAATGGATGGTTGACATATGATTCATAGTGTGCAGTGACGCTGCAAATAGGCAATGAAAAGTCAATCTTGTTTTTATTTGAACTCAATGTAATTTTAAAGCTATTCAGTAAGGCACCTGTTTTAAGTGAGCTGCGGCACTTCTTCTCCAAACAAAACAGTGGTTAGAATCCCGTCCGCTGGGAACGAATTCCTGTCACCGAAGTATTTCTGTGCGTCTAGCCATCTTTCCACTCGTGCAGTCCATCCACTTTGCCCACTTTTTTGGAGGGTAATTTTATGAGGAATTTTCATAGCTTTACAACTCAACGTACGAGTACGTTGATGAAGAGAGGTGAGGTCAGCGTCATCGGTTTATACCCTTCTTTGTTACTCTTACTCTTTGTAGTCTTGGTCTAACACACACACACATTCACACATCTAGACTAAATATTGGCTTTTTCAGCACAGACTACTTTACAACAATGCAAATCCCAAAACTCTCCAATATACAATCAAAAGCATACATATCACCTAAAAGTGGAAAATGAACAGACTTTGCAATGGTTTAACAATTCCAGCTAAACTTGTTGTGGAAACCGACACGTTTGGAAGCCGGGTTCGAATCAGAGGAGCGAAAACAGGATACTACATTTGCATGAACAAGAGAGGCACGCTTACTGGACGGGTGAGTTTAAGTAATTAAACATCTGGTGTGTTTATGTTGAATTATTCTGCAAAATTATGTTGTTGAAATCATACTTTAAGAAATATAGACAATTAAATTGGTTCGAATGGCACTAATGATATCACAGGTAAACCCATCACGCCCTGAGAACAAAATTGAGCCTCATAAATCTCTCAGGCTTGAACAGCAGATTTCCGAGTTTGTCATTTCAGTCCTCCGCTGTCTGTCTCTTTTTGTTGCCAGAGGAAGGGCCGTGGAAGGGACTGCATATTCACCGAGATTGTTCTGGAAAATAACTACACGGCTTTGCAGAACGCCAAATACAAAGGCTGGTACATGGCTTTTACACGCAAGGGTCGACCCAGGAAAGCCACGCAGACCCGGCAGCATCAGCGAGAGGCCCATTTCATGAAACGTCTTCCTCAAGGACACCTGTTAACAGAACAGAAGCCTTTTGATTTAATCCCATATCCCCCAAACAAGAGGACTAAGCACCATCAGCGCACAAGAGTGAATTGAGGACAGAATAGTATCTTATACCGGAGTGCTCTCTTAATTCGAGTTTATCTAATCTATGTGCATCCAGAGTTACTGGAAATCACGCCGAACTGATGTTGTGTAAAAATGAAGGAGTCTGCACAGGCTCAGATCTGAGATGAATCGCAGTACCAAGAACAGTTTGTTCTGGGACAATTACTGAACTGTTGACTGAACAGAGGACACTGTAAGCCTTGTAATAATGAGCAACGCATCTCTGGGAATGAAGCAAGACAACAGAACACACGACACACAAACACTCTCAGAAAAATGCGCAAATATTCTGTCTTCAGGGGTACAACAGCTTGTCACTGGGGCAGAACCCTTAAGACACTAGAGACAAAACCATTGGTGTTTTTTAGGCACTGGTCAATTTTTTAGATGTTTGGGCTGTTTTGTTTCCATAACATATTTTATTTCAGACTACTAGTAAAAAAAAAAAATCAAATTTAAGTGTTAATTTTATTACAGTTTATCCATTTGCGTCTGTAGATATCAATTACAACACATATCTTTAAAGCTGGTTTTCTCAAAATTAGTTTTTCTCCACTTCCATACACCAAACATTATACTTGTATTCCTATCTATATTCTGAAAGTTTTTACAAAGGAGTTTGTTCATACACCATTCGCCTGATTTATATGCAAAATAAACGTTTAAGATGCATAAAATATGACTAAAATAGATATATTTTTGGCTGTTGATAGTATTTTCTTATTTATGGAGTGATAAAAAAATCCCCTCTATAAAAACATTTAATATGTCATCAAAATGAAACAAAATTTTACACTTGGCTTTATCCAATATTCAGACTTCTGTTCTAGAAATGAATGTGAATAATTGGATTTCATTGGATATGCCTCATTTGCATATCTAAACATAACATTTCTGAAAACTTAACATAACATTAATTCAAAACAATTATCTTCGTGTACTGTGATTAATAAACCGGCAAATGTATGGTGACGATTCAAATATATATATTGCATAGCTTAGGGGTACATATTATCCTTGAAGGCACTAATATGCACCTTTAAAGGTAGGTAAGGTACAAAGCTATCCCTGTAAGGATTACTGCCCCGGTCACAAGCTGTTGTACAATTTTTGCACACTTTATTCTGACAGTGAACATGGCAGCTACCTACTGATGATCCCAAGCATATGCAGATACACATTCCATTATGATTCCATGATGTTTAGTGATATTATCAAAAAGCATCTTTATTGTTTGTACATGACTATATATTTTTATTGGAAGATTGTAAGATACTTCAAAATGAAAATATTTATTTTAGAGCGTGTATTAAATTCATGTAAAAGTATTGATTTAACAGGGTCTCGGGATGTGTGATTCATTGACTCCCTAACGCTTTTTGTGGGAACTTTAAATTCGGCCCATGATTGATTCGACTCCTTTGAGATGCGCTTCTACGCCGAATTTGCTTTGAAGGAGTCAGCGATCATTAGCTGACAGGTCGAATTCTCCTTCTCTCATAGATCACTTTGTATGTGTGTGGGCGCATCAAGAACACGAGCACGACAAGTGTGGGTTAAAGTCGAAGGCCTCCAGTAACAAGTCGGCCAAATTGGGAGCCAGTTTCTTTCAGAGTCAGGCTTATTCAGTTGACAACAACAGCAGCCTGAGAGAAACCTCAAGGGCATGATCGGGTCTATTCAAGAGGTATACTTCCAGGACCGTATAGCTGTTGTTATGTTTTTGGCCCAGCAGTCGAACTCCCAGAAAAAGAGGCCTGAGCCTCAGATAACTGTGAAGCAATATCTGTGACAGGCCGGTCTCGATTGAATGTGCTCAGCAAGTGAGACTGGGCCTTTGAATAGCTTGGGTCTTTCGCTTTAGAAGAGATGAGGTCAACCCACCATTGCCGTCCCAAACAAAGGTTACCACCGTGTAGTTGCATTTCTGCGACCCGCGCACCGTAACCCCTTGATCAAATGCTCCCTTTGTAGGCGCCGTAGAAAAGAAACATGTCATACAATGGTGGGCCTGAATAATAACACAAGGAGGGGTCAGCAATCAAAAAAGGAAGCCCAGTCACACAGAGGGGGTGAGGGCGGGCGAAAGAGAGAAACCAAGAGCGACTCGGGGGAAGAGAAAACGTTCAGGGGGTGTTATGGGTTGAGATGTGGGCGAGAGGGGCTGAAAGAGGGCAAATGGCTGGGAAGAGGCAAAGAGGGGCACAGACGAATGAAAAGGGCCAAAAAAGAGTGTCTCTCTCTGTTGAAGCAGTTGAGCATGACCATTGAGGCCTCAGGATGGGGAGGGAGAAAGGGAAGAAGAGACACTGAACAAAAATCACAGTGCTGAGCTCTTCCCCTGTCGCCTTTTTCCCAGGACTTCTGATTTGTCAGTTGGACCTTGGACCACTTCCACGTGCACGGCCATGTTTCGGTAGAAAAGCATCTAGAAAAGCGTTTGATTGACCTAATAAAACTCTTTAAATCGGTGCTTTGTTCTGTTCGTGTCAAAAGACTGCACGGCTAACACTAGGCCTGCATCATTCAAGAAATTAGACTTTGTCTTTGTATTTTAAAAGGGTTTTTGTGTCTGAATATTGATCATAAATTTCTAAGAGATCAAATTGACAGTATCAATGTTTTAAAAATACTACACACACTGGTTTTCCTATCATTATAGGGACATTCCATAGACTTAATGATTTCTATACTGTATAAACTGTATTTTCTATCCCCTTACCCTAATCCTAAACCTACCCCTCACACCAAACTTTCTGCATTTTTAGATTTTCAAAAAACTTCATTCTGTATGATTTATGGGGACCAAAAATGTCCCCACAATGTCAAAATTTACTGGTATTTCTATCCTTTACTTGTATTTCTATCTATCCTTGGTCCCCATAAGAGAAGCATACACCTCATTGCTAAGAGATGCACGAGTCTGTGCTCATCATAGTCTACACTTTTCACAATTTTCTTTGAAACTCCGACTACCCAATATCTGCAGACCGGCTCTGACTTTCAGCAACGAGACTTGACTCCTCCAGACTGCAAATCGTTGCAAAAATCTGGGCAAAAGTTGTGTAGTCAATAGCAGTCAGTCTGACGCATACTGACCGGAAAACAATTTGTAGAGCTAGCAAGACGCAATTGGATTTGCAGATTTTTAACAACTTCCGGTCGTGAACAAATGGGTCTGCCTGGTCAAATAAGACATATTTTAATGGTTATTCTCTTCAGTGCCTAATTAGAAATGGTTATGATGATGTTTATTGTCCCAGACAACCTCTGTAGTCCCATTTAGACAATTGTTTTCAAGACACTATTACTTGTGTTTTAAGACATAGAATGAAACGTGAACATATTTTGAGCTTGTGTTAAATACAAACCTTAGGCTAGAAACCTTTAGGCATCTAACAAAAAAAAACTCATTCAAAAAACCTACTGACTTTAGGACGATGGAACCGGAAGTTAAAAAATGCTAACTTGTTTCTGGGTTTAAAGGACTCATTCATGCAGCACTGTATTTAACTGCACATAATTTACTTTTAACTGTGATTGATCACTCTTCCTTTCTAAGTAGGCCTTTCTTTACCGGAGTGAGCTGTAATGTGGACCAGACATCCAGTCAAAATACTTGAGAAAATGTAAAAACAAAACAATGCAAATCAATGTCGACCACCATCCAGTTTAAAAAAAAAGTATCAGAAATCAAGAGTGCGCTCCAAAATGCTAACGGCATTAGCAACAGATCGCTCATGTAGGACCCAATGACCTACAGATAACAGTCAACAAAGCAGTCTGTCAAAAATGCGGTACTTCTAAAAAAAAAAAAACAAGGACTGGAGGAACTATAAGAATCTCTCTCGGTAGCAGTTAACCCATAGACATCTGATTCTTTCCATGTAAGACATTTCTATATAATTTTTTCACAGACCTCAGGCCAACAATCTCCCCCAGACATTAGGTATTGGTTCAATCTGGAATCTCATATTGCTGTGAACTGGAGCGTACCATCTTTGGGCAGTGTGAGAAGGGGTGAAGACAGCACCAGGACTCTTGCTCTGCTCCTAGAAGGTTTTAATGATGTGTGCAGATGTTTGGCTCGCAGCACTGCTTGTCAACACACGAGTGTAATGATGCACAATGGTTTCCGTCTCTCTGTGGTCAATACAAGGCCATAACGATGAGAGGCTGCCACACTGCAAAAGCTCCAGATTCAGGTGAACGGTTATGTTTTTAATCATTTTGACAACTCATATCAAGGGCATGTCCCTGCAGTTGCTACTATCAACAGAGCTAGAAGACTGATGCCAGAATTTAGGCTCCAAGATGCGTCACGGGATGTTGAATAGCCGCAGATATATAGGCTAATATTATTTTAAATAATATTTTATTTTACATTAAAAAGTCATACATCTTGGTAAAATGACAGACTTCTCTCATATCAAATAAACAAGACTTCTCCAATCATTTAGTCTCCTTAAACTCCGCCCCTTTCTTGTAATCGATTGCAAACTCGGGTTCAGATCTGCCTCCATTCAACCTGAAACTGAATTCTCATTGTAGTTACCCCTGGCATTGGATTTGTATGGTCTTATTAAAAAAAAAAAAATCTGCCTGCATCTAAATAACAACCGATAATAGTCTACATTTTTTTGCTCTACAAATTCGTAAATGTTTGAATAATCAACGTTTCAAAAGTAAAGCCACAAAACATAAACAATATGCTTTTTTTTGTTTTTTTGCTATGACATACCTAAAATGACCCAGAAAAATTAGTTTTAATACTTAAATATAATGCAAGTTTTAACAAAATAATTATTATTGCTTAAAAACATATCTAATCTGTAATATTTTCCACATTTGTCGCTTTAAAATATTACGTGTTCCATGTTAAAAAGCAGAACAAGAGACTGCAGTGTCAGCCCTGAAAGCTGGCTGGTGAATTCCAGGGCAGAAAACATCCTCCTCGGAGGCTGTTATACACAATAGTGAGAATGACTTGTGGTTTAGTGCCTGTTTTATGCATACAGTCTCTTGGTTTGGCACAAAAGCTGTGGAGTGGGAACTAGAAGCAAAGAATCACCAGAGTCAGAAACAGTATATTCACATGGTATTGTTGTCTTTGCCTTAAACCAACAAAGAGTTTGTTTGTAGTCTTCTATTTACAGTAGAAACACAAACAGCACTGTGGTCAATGCCAAACATCGTACATAAACATGAGGTGAATACAGATAAAAATCAAGGAACCCAGATGAAGGAAATGTTTAATTTTCCCACGATGCACTTC